GAAAGCAGAAAGCAAAACAATCCTGGAAAATAAAGGCGGCGTAAGAGATTGGATAAGCCAGAAATTCTCAAGTGCCCAAATCTTCCGTCTGTAGCATGCAGCTGCTAGGAGACAATGAACAGATTTTGTTGCAGCAAAAAGACACCGGCCGTTACTAGAGCATGGTGGTGCAAAAAGTTTTCACTTTTCATTCCTTGGCTTTACCTCTGAAAACAGTACTGAGCTCAGTGAGATAGAATTTTCCCCAGCTCCTTGTTTCATTACACCCAGTAAGATCTCACTCAAACAGCCCAAGCTGTCTAGAGCCAGGAGCAACTACTTACACGAATAAAGACCTGATGGCCCAAGAACTTCTTCTAGAACAGTCCAGCTGCCTTGACTGGTTCACTGTCTGATCTCTCCTGTGTTACAAGGAGGGAAGAGCCCCAGTGTCTGGGACTGAGTATCCCCCACTCAGTAAAACACATCCCAAGTTATAACACCCTTCTTTTCAGAAGGGCATGAATCTCTCTGCTATCTCCAGCAATGAACCTGCTGATTTGTAAAAGCTCTCTGGAGAGTAAGGAATGACTTGTTTGCTATTCATCCACTCTGAATAAGCGGGGGCCTCAGCCAGCCACTCTGACAATACCTGCAGGGTGTAGGAGTTGTTGTACAGGAGTTTAACATTCACATCATTGCCATCCATCGTGCATTTCCCGTAATTCCCACCCAGGCGATTCACCTCATCCTGTGGACACAGAAAAGAGGCCTGAGTGATTAGGAGCTTTAATTGGACCTAGCCATCACCAGCTAAACTTAACTGGATGGAGCATCATATAAAGGACAGGAAGTGTAGTAATGCATGCGAGCAGCCAAGCTATACCTTGCTAATAAAATATATAGTAGCAGGGCAAAGGTAGGAGAGTGCATTTGGTCAGGCACTGGCTCAGCTGACAAGCAGTAACTCATCGCGTCAAAAGAACTAAATCACTTCTGAATGTTTGTTCTCATCCTAATGCACACCCGCAGCCCCCTGTGTAGAGCTGGAATGAGATCTAAGAGGTGTAAGAGCCTCAGTGTAAAATAAATCAGGCCCCAATGTACTGAGGACCAACAGGCCACTTGCACACTTGGAATAATTTTGTTTTACCCATGGGAACCTGAGCACAGTGAAGAGAGAAAAGGGACTTGCACGAATATATATGCACAGTCGAGAAGTGACCCCAAGAGTCCCACCAGTCCGTTGCATGGGTCAGCCACAGTGTTCAGCGCCTCAGAACTTTCTGCAATCAGAAGGAAAAGAAACAATGCTCTCGAGCAAGTGGCTAACCTGCTGAATGCTTATGGTAGTTTCAATGCCTGGTCTGATGTCAAAGCCTTCATGCTCAAGGAACGGTGTCTGGTTGTGGTTGTGTATCATCACTTTCACACCTGCTACTGTAGACAAGAGGGGGATGTGATCCTTCTGCTCTGCTCTCAGGATAAGGGAAAGTCCTGTAAACCACAGAAAAGGGAAGGAGATAACAATTTATTTTGAGCCAAAATAGGAACATCACCACGTCTTGAATTCTCAGTGCTGATCAGATTGCTGTCTTAGCTCACAGAAGAGAAGTTCTTTTTCCTTAGAGACCTGGTGAGAGGTCGGGTAGCAATTCCACCAGCCTATTCCAAAACTGTAATAATATTCTGCTTGCTATAAGTTAAGATATGGCTATCATATACATGTGGCTATTGAAGCAAGCAAATACAGTATATAATTTGTGCCACCAGACTAGAAGAGAGTGTTATATGTCAGTAAGTCATGTATAGAAGACATATATTTAATCCATGGCCAAATTATATTAACTTTAGCTCTTCTTCCCACCTTTTGCCAAATAACATACCGTAAGGAACTCCTGGTTTTGTAGCTGTCCAAAACGGATCTGTTCCCTTGCTATTAAAAGTATAGCAGCTTCCAAAGACTGGGTGGTGAAAGTGAACATAGTCACTGAAATCAAGAGAGATTTTGATGAGTTTAAATTATGAGTGTAGCAATACCTTTACTTCTATGTAGGATGTGTTTTGTGTGTGTATATGTACAGGAGTGCCTATGGGAGAGTTGTTAACTCACCGGAAACAAGGGAAAAAATTGGATGCAAAGGGATTCACTGCTCACCCAAGGTTACAGCCAGAGCAGCAAACACAGGAGTCAAATTCAGAGTTCTGACTTGCTTTTCCTTCCACCAAGTAGACTAAATATTTCCTTGCTTGTTCCAACAACCAGGCTGGTTGAAGTTCTGTGCTCTAATCAATAGGAGAAATAGATTCTCTCTTTCCTTGTTTTCTTAAAAATTATACCACTTATTATGATCATGCTGAACCTCCCTGGCCAAATCAGCCTCCACATTCCACCAGTTTATAAGAGTTCTTAAGAAGAGTTGGATGAACACATGTACAAAAGTGATGATGCTCACCATCAAGTGCACAGAGAGATAGATTACATGAAAGCATCAGAAACACTAAGTGCAGAAGAACGTAAGAGTCAGTTGCCCCCAGGAAAGATAAGATAGGACCTTATCTCATAAAACGATCTACAACAAACTTTGTAGACCCCTCTCCTCTTTGCTGAAAGTGCTCATAAAAACACTTGTTTGCCTTCTGCTTATTCTGTGTCATAGATGAGTGCATTGCTGTTCATTCAAGCCATCAGCTGAAAACAAGTAGGCCAGCAAATGGCTGGCGTGTGCCTGAGGCACAGCATTGCCTTGGGTGGTGTATGTCAGTTGGGTTTGGAAGAGCTTCCGACAGTGGAGACCGTAGGCATGCGGGAAAAAGGAGGTACACCTTTGCCTTTGGTATGTGCAGCAGGCTCACTTCTTTACCTCTGGGGACAGAAGGATGCAAAAAGACCATCTCACCCTTTTGGCATTAACTGAGTCCTCCTGGCATAATAGTTGAGAACAATCCTTGTGCTCAGGGGGCAAGTGCTACGGTAGAGTTGTGAGAGCCTTCTTCCCCTTCTCTCCCCCCTTTTCATTGTTACAACAAAAAGGAATACGACTTTTATCCATTGGATAGCTGAGGATTCCTGCTCCTTTCCTCCCATGCAGATAGACATTAATTATTTGCCATTCAAGACAGTCAATGCATCTTTGTACCAGTAAAGGTTTAATTCCTGCTTAGGTTTCTTTGACAACCTAAGACTCTAACTCACAGTCATAGAGGTAAGTCATGGCAGAGCACTAATTTCTAGGTTCCTAGCTCCAAGTTCTGATCATGGAAGGCTGTTCTTTCTTTCAGTCAGATCTCCAACAAGGGCTAAGCCTGGCAGCATGCCATGAGGTGCAGTGCCTGCACTGCCTGAAAGTGTGGGTTCAGTTTCAGTCTCCCAAGTCCTTGAGTTCTGCGGAAATCACAGTTAGCATCTCAAGAAGTAACATACCTGGGTCTGCAGGGCTCCCCATCATACTGACAGGAGTAGACCATATCTTCTATTTGCTCCTCATGATCAGAAACATTGATTATAACTGGTAGCTGGGACATGATATTCATGTAGTGAAACCTGTACCATTCAAGAATTGCATCCATCCCAGATGAATAGGTCTTGTAGAAGCAATTTCCACCTGTGGCATTGCACTGGAAGAAAAGAAGAGGCAGCTATTCAGCACAGCCAGAACATGACAGCCTAAGGGTAACAGAGATCAGGGGGTAAAGGCAATACTGGATACAGGGACAAGGGGAACCTCTATTTTTCCAGAAAGTGAAGTCTCCGATCATTTTAGTTATCACAGAATCACAGAATGGCTGAGGTTGGAAGGGACCTCTGGAGGTCATCTTGTCGTGTGCTAAACACCTTCTCTCCTTGAAGCTGAATTAGGTGTTCTACTTCATCTCAGGGGAATGAGTGCAGGGGAACAGAGGCAGGAGAAGAGAGCAGACAAGCAAACTCAGGTACCTTGGAAGAAGGAAGGACAGGGCTGGTGGGAATCCTCTACAACCCATGAATCATGAACCAAGTCCTGAGATGGTTTCTTTGTTCTTACTCAGGACTTAGACAGGTGAACACCCACAGATTCTGGTGAAAGTGTGCCTGGTGAAGGACTTCAGGATAGGGCAGGACGATAATAATCAGGAAAAAATTGCTGGCCTTTCAAGCCACATCAATGTCTCTGTCATAGCTTCTGCTCTTAGATCTACGCTAACCCTGTTTTTGATGTGAAGAATCTGAAGCATTTGCACTCTTCTCCAAAGTCACACATACACATTTATTGTATTCATCCTCTTGACGTGTTATTGCCATCTTTCATTTTATCTGCAACATTTCTAGTGCCCCCAGTACCACAGCATTTAGACACTGAGGGAATCCTCGCATGTTGTTTCTCTGTTATTTCTAGGCTCACCTGCTAAGTCTAGATGTTTTGTATATTTTTAGAAAGGGGTACAATGATTCCCATAGCCTGCTGCTACCATTCTCTACTGAATTTGTCACTACCAGAAGGACTTTACAGCTGGGTGAGCTGTGTAAGACCATTGACGTTGCTATTGTTTCACTTCACAAGAATCCTGGCAATCAGCATAAACTGTTAGAGGCGGGGATGGACTCTCCTGGAACATCCTCCAAGCTGTCACTACACAGCACTGAAACTATCTATTTTTTCACTCATTTTTTTTGAATGTACCTTGTGAGATCTTTGTCAGGGCCCTGAGTGCATTGATAGGGTTTCAGGGCCCTGAGCAGCTTCACCTGGAGCCTCCACCCACACCCTCTGCCCAGGAGGGCATTTAAGCTCAGCTTGGGGTCTTCACCCTCCTCGGGCTGTGCTGTGGGGCTGCTGCTTTCTAGCTGGGCTGCTGCGCTCCTGCCTCGCCTTGGACCCTGTCAGTCCCGTGGGCTAACTTCATGGCCTGCTCTTGAACCTGCCTCATTGCCATGAACTTGCCTGATGAGCTGGGCTCTTGGTTGGACCTGGCCGCCACCTGTGACCTTTCCTGCTCGCCTGCTCAGGTACCGTGGGATGGGTCCCTGCCCTGCCGGCAGGCTCCCCCTCTGCCCCTGTCCCTTAGGGAGCAGCCGGTCCTCGCTGCTCGCGTCTGTAGCCTGGTTAAAATCTCAAAGAGGACATGCACTTACCAGCCTGAAGCCCACGCTGGAATCCTTCTTCCCTGACCTGTTACTGTGGTCAGGCATTCTCAAGAGTGAGAAGTTTTGGCTCAGCTTGAAGCTAGATCTGCTGAGGTTTCCTATGCTTGACAAGTCTTTTACGTGGATGTTTTTCTCATTCATGTGGAATAAGCTGGCTGACGTGTTGATGCCATACAAAAAAGTGATAGATTCCTCTGCCATCTGATCCAATTGAACCAAATGTTCACTAACTAGTTCAAATCTGCAAGGAACAGAAATAGGAGCTATTTGTAAATATCCATGTTTCCATTAGACAAAAGCACTGTGTTTTATGTACCCTCACAGTATCTATGGAAAGGCTACTCTCCCAGTCCCTGCAGACCTTGATGTCTGTGTGAGAAAAGCAAGCAATTACGGTGCTTACGCTTAGTGTACCTAACTGCAATAAATTAATTTATTAGGAGCTCCGGTAGCTGAATTTCCAGTTGCTGGATCTTCCACTGAAAACCTCAGAACTTGTAGCTGTGCAACATCAGCTGCACAAACTGGCCTTCCTGTCAGCCAATTAGATAATTGTTCCGTGGACATTACATAATTCCTTTACTATGTAATTTGAAACGTCTCGATAACTTGCCACTACTGTGCGAGCCTTGTTTGACAAACAGGGCCACATAGACTCCCATAGAAGTTATATTTTTTTTTCCTTAAAGCCATTCTGCAGCACAAAAACCCAAGCAGAATCAGCTCTAGCATGCATCATTCCAGAGATGGATAGTTTAGTTATGAATGAATACACACAGTACCCGTGTTTTTCAGGGGAAGACTGTTTTTATCAGAGCATAAAATCAGCCAGCAGCCTGAACCAAGTCACAAGGCAGAGTTCCCTCTATCCTGACTCAGTGCATGAAATAAACTGCTACATGCTGTTGCACAATTCCCAACAAGATCTTATCTTAAAACCAGTTTGAAAATAACAATAGTCCCTTTCCAGCCCTGTAAGGCAGAGAGCCCTCCCTCTACCTTCAGCCTCCTCCAGGCTGCAGTCATAAGGTAGCTGACCCTTCCTGAATCCTCGTGACTGTAAAGACACGACTACGCCAAGGGGAAAGCGCAGGCTACCTGTATGGGTCCAGGTTACAGATGGTAATTGCTGGAAACATCTTGGGCTCTGAATGTATTGACATTGTCAGGACGACAGGGTAGGCCCAGTACTGGCTGAACATAAGTGCAAATTGCCAGTATAACATGCCAAAGCTGGCAAGTAAAAGCAGAGTCCAAAAAGCTGTTTTCATCCTATTGCTGTCTGAGCATACAAGGCGGATGGTGCCATGGATTGTTGTGTTCTTGCAGAAGAACTCAAACATATCCTTGAAGGAATCATAAAACTCAATCAAGCCTTCTTTCTTCTCTTCTTCTCTTGCCACTTCCTGCTCCATCCTCTAAGTCTGTTTCTGTTCAATAAAAAAGAAAAAAAAAAATCTTATTAGCTTCTTAGAAAGACCATGGCCAACCTGTGGACTCTTACAAGCAGGGCGTCAGTGAGTTTGTTATTGGCAAAAGCTGAAAATAACTGTGAGCGGAGATTCATCTGTCTTTCCAGGGTTTGGACACCAGGAAGTAGTCAAATGTTCTGCGTACTGCTGCCGAAGTCACTCGAGGCGTTCTGCCAGACTTACACTATGGCTTCTCTGTTAGTATGGATGTGCAAAAGTGACTAATACACAAGCTGCTGAGAAGTTTTCAGCCAAAGGGGTGTGTAGTTTTCTTCTTTCTAAGAACACTGAGGACCAACATTTAATTCTCAAACATTGTGTCGGGGTGCGTTAATACAGATCCATAACTAATTCATTATTACAAGTACCTTGCTAGTGAAACATGCTGGCCTGTAGGGCTGAAACAAGACTGTCACAGAACTAGTAAGGCTTCAGCCTTACATCAAGGAACCGGGATAAATCCAACTTTCAAGTGAATGAAAGGGATCTAGTTTTAATTTTTGCTGTATGATCTCTCATTCTGCAGAACGGAGGTAAACAGGATTAATTCCTGCCACCCCTGAAAGAGAGCCTCTTCCAAGATGAAATATAGTAGGTATTTCATAGGTCAGATGAGCAGAATTGGGTATTTAGGAAAGGAAGTGGAGAAAAACACCACCTCAGTTGGAACCACAGAGGGGTTTAACCACATTAGGACATGGATAAAGCATTGCAAATACTAGCTCAAGTCTGAAGACCACAGAAATATTAATTACTGCTACTAACAGAAATTTTGCCACCTATCTCCTACATAAATAGTTTCTTCCAGGAATCTAAAAATCTTCTCTTTCTCTCTATTTTATGGAAGCAAAAAGGAAGCACAGAAACTGAAAATCGCCCAGCAAGAGTGGCATAACTGGAAATCAAAATCCGTATCTCCTTTGCCACAGTAAGTAAAACATCTACTATGCTACTCTAGATAATTTCAGACTTTATGCTGATGAAAGTGTGAGCATTACTTATGCTCATATGTTTTAGCCAGTACAGACTGAGGACATCTTCCTAGCTTTTAGTACCAGTTTGGGACACTGGACTAGTGTTGACATACTTCCACTTACTGAACGTGACATCAAGTCCTGTAATATGTGAGTTTCCAACATTACAGCACTCCGTGAATCACCCTACCTATTATGCTATTAAGAGAAGTTTACTGAGTACAACACTTGGGTCCAACCTTAACTCCAAATAAAAACCTTATAAACACAATAACAGAGTTTGAAGACAAGGAGTGCGCAAATAACTAAAGAATTGTTGCAAGTGGGGACATGATAATAAAACAAAAGCTCGGGTCCTTCGCTGAGTGTCAGGCCTTGAAGTGTTTGGTGGTGGCTCAGTCTGAGATGCCACAGCTCCGCTGATACCCACCAGTGCCCTGACCTGCAACGCCTTCATCCTCAGCTAGACCTCTCCATTTTAAACCACGGCTTTATTTCAAAGGCCCTTGGAATAGGACACTTGATATGAAATGATATCTTAGAGCTTACAAGCTGCTAAGGCAGTCTCTTCAGTGTGCCTATTCATGTCAGAAAGATTAGGAATAATCCTTAAACAGTGAAGAGCACTCCAAAAGCTGTGTACCAGATTAGCTTTAAAATAGCCCACAAAAGTGTATTATCTGACAAGGAAACCCAGTTTATCACAAGTTATTTTCCCCAAACACCACAGCACACGCCACATTTCTATTTTCTAAGCTATTGTTTAACAACAATACAAAATTAACTCAAAGGCACATGCACCTGCTCTATACTTCTATAATTAAACATGACAAATGATTTCTCAAATTTCTTAGATATACTTGCCATTGAACAAGTACAGGAAGCCCAAGCAAAGTGAAATATTAAAAAAAAAAATTAAAAAAAAAGGCATGAACAATTAAAAGAACATGTGTGATAAAGAATTGAAGTGGGAAAGTAGCAACTCCACTTTTGCTACAAGGAAGCGCTGTTTTTCTGCAGTGCGTATGTAGCTGAACTGTTGCTCCCACACAGACTATGCAGAGCCATACTCTGAAACGCTGGTTCAAAATTTTGTCAGACAACCTTACAG